CTCCCCCGCGTGCTCCGCGTCTGCCTGCCACAGCGCATCCTCCCCCCCCCGTGGCAGTGATCCTGCCCCCCCTGTCCTTGCAGCAGCTCGGGGGCTGAAACTGGGGGGCTGCCCCGTCAGAGCTGCCTCAAATCACACGCCGGAACCCCCCGCCGATGTGTTCCCAGCCCTGTGGGGCACCACATGGCTGCAGGTGGTGCCTCTGCCCCCGCCCGGGACAGGTCTCAGTCCAGCGTCACCCTGCCCAGGTGTCCTGCCCGGAAGTCCCGCAGGAACTTGTAGGCAGCTGCTGGGTAGCTGAGCATGGTCACATTGACGTTCCCTGGAGCCGAGGCCGGAGGACACAGGAGGAGGCATCAGCAGAGCCTGGAGCTGCCCCAGGATCCCCAAAAGCCTGGCCCCTGCACCCCAGGTGGCAGAGATCCCCCCCTGGAGCACTCACCCGTGCCTGTCAGCACCTTCACCTTTTGTGTCCTGCCCTGGGCGAGGGCCACACGCTTCAGCACGAGCTCGATGTCGTCGCAGGCCTCGTCCAGCCCGTAGCGCTGCACGTACCTGCCAAAGGAGGCGGCTCGTGCCCTGCCAGCTTCACTTCTCCCCCCACAGAATCCCCTGCGGACAGTTTCTCCGCCACCTGCTTGGGACCACAGGCAGCAGATGCAGCCCTGGGCCCTCCCCAGTTGCCCTGCCAGCTCACCCGAACTGCTGCTGCTTGTTCAGGGTGTACAGGAGGTAGTCGGCCATGATGTCCTCCCCCACCAGGTGGTCACGGATGGCTCCTGGGAAAGAGGGTCAAGCCCTAGCTCCCCCCAGCCCTGCTCTGGGCCCCAGCCCCCCCTCCTGCTGTCCATGTGCCACCCATCGGCACCTGGGCAGCGCATGCCAGCCTGGGGGGGCCCGTGAGCAGCAGGCTCCCGCCCCAGCCAGGGCTTGAAGCCACATTTAGGGAGTCCCCCTGGCCACAGCCTCCACCTCACCACAGAGTGCCAGCTTCATGCCCGTCTCCACGTCCCCCAGCTTCGGGGGCAGCACGCCAGGCGTGTCCACCAGGTACATCAGGGGCTTCTCACAGACCTGGATGGGGGGAGGCAGGACAGTTCGGACATTGTGGCCCGGTAATTAGCACTGCAGACTCTGACATGGCTAATGAGCGAGGCATTGAGCTCTTTCGTTAAGGTCTTGCTGGAAAGGGGAACCCTTTGGGATCAGCTCTGTGTGCATCGAGGTTTTCTAGAGCTCCTGCGAGATGACGCAGGGAGGTAGAGGCCAGCACCCACCCAGGCAGCTGCGCCGCAGGGACAGTACCTGGATTCTCGTCAGCACTGCCTTGGTGATGCCCGGCTCGCCACCAACTGCGGTGGCTTTCCCTTGGGGAAAAGGAGAGAGACAGTCAGAGAAGCAAGCGACGCTCTGCCCCGCCAGCTGCTCCACAGCTGCGCCTGTGGCTCCTCCCGGACCCCCGGCACCATGGAGAAATACCCTTTTTGAGGTGCAGCCTCCGCAGGGAATTGATGAGCGACGACTTGCCCACGTTGGGCACGCCAATCACCAGGATGCTGTAGTCGGTGCTCTGGAAGTGAGGAGGATGCGAGTTATTGGCCACCCACCCCAGAAGCGATGGGCAGCCGCAACAGCCAAACAGCCCAGCGTTTGCCAGAGCTTCTGTGTGAGCAGCCTCATCGCTCCAGCTGGAGAGGGAGGCGACCTGCAGACCGCCACCCTGGCTCCTCGCACGTGTGCTGGCAGTCTTGCTGCCACATCTCACCTCAGCCCTGTGGTAGCGTGGGCTGTTGCCCACCAGCTTGGCAACCAGGGGAACAATCTGCAGAGAGACACAGAGAAGGGCAGTAACTACGGCTCTGCGCCCGGGCTGGCAGCAGCCACTCGCTGGGAGGATGCTGTGCCAGGAGGATGCGCAAAATGGGGGCCAAGTGGAGGACTGGGGCGCCCTGCTAAGCTGGAAATGAAGATGGCTCTGGAGCAGCCAGCGTCACTTCCTCACAGTGGGGCACTGAGGCCTCCCCACGAGGCTGGGAGATCAGTGCACGGCCCCCGGCTGTCGGCGGTGAGGAACAGGGCTGGGCACAGGGCTGCTGGCCCATTACCTTCTTGACGTTACCATCACGCTGGCAGTCAGTGAAGACAACATGTGAGCATCCCTGCTGCTTCAGGTGCTCCAAGACTGCCTGAAAGGGACAGGCAGAGGCATTGCTGGCATCTGCCTGCGGTGACCCATGGGCCCCCAGCCAGCCGTCCCTGCCCCGGTGCTCACCGGCTGCCGGCGAGGATCGGCCAGGTCCACCTTGTTCAGCACCAGGACGTG